AAGGAAAGAAGGAATGAGAAAAAGAAATGATATAAAACATACAGGGACAAATCATGAATGTAATCGTATATATGTCAATAGTGTACCAATGAAAATAATTTTTGAAAAATAAATCTGAGGCTTGGTGCCATGGCACATGCCTGTAATATAAGCTACTCAAATGACTGTAACAGGACCATCAAAAGTTCATGGCCAAAACAAACAAACAAAACAAACAACTTCATGACTAGCATGGGCAACTTAAGAAGACCCCATCTGATATAAAAAATAGAGATGGCTAGGAATGTAGCTCAGTGGCAGACTGACTCTGCAATCAGTCCGCAGGATCAAAATGAAAAGTGGCAATCAGGCATGCCGTGTTAAGGGGCAGTGGTTTCCAGGAAGTTACCTTATAATTTGCTAAAAGAAGATAATAGATACTATGATTGCATGCTTAATTTTTTTCACAACTTAAAATCTGTGGCTCCTACCAATCTCTTCCTGCTTTTAGGAGTTCACAATTCAGAACTGTTCAGAAGCAGCAATCCAGTTAGTATTCAGCAAAAATATGAATTAATAAGCAGGAAAATGTTAAGAGTAAAAAATTGAACAGCTGTCATGTACTTGTTTTCCCTCTTAGAAACATGTGTGGGTGGTTGTGGTTTTATTCCACATGAGTAATTGGTAGGCATAGTTCCTTATTGGGAAAGATGCTCCAAGCTGTCTCCAGACACCCTGCCTCCTGAGCAATTCTGAGGATTAGGGAAGCAGAGGATGGAGGTCCAGCTCGGAAGTAATCTGTACCCAGGCAAGTTAAGTAAGGTGGGAATGGGCTGAGGAAAAGAGGTCTGAGGTCTGTGGTCTGAGGGAAAGAGCCGAACAGCCCAGAAGGGGAGCAGAGAATACAGATTGCCCTGCTGAGGAAGGTGACTCTGGACCAGTGATCTCCTGTCCCTGCATATCCTAGAAAGCCCATCAAGTCTGGGAGACTCTGAGTGCATATGTGTACCACAAACTATTTGCAGAGCAAAACAATCCTGTATCCTTCACCAATACTTTTACAGCCGTACCTTAGTTCATGAACTCAGTTCTCTCCACAACTTTTGTCTCATTGCTGAAACAAAATACCTGATGCCCCAAAATTAAGTGCAGAAAGGTTCGTTTAGCTCACAGTTTGTAGAGGTTTTAGTCCAGAATCAGCTGGCTCCCAATCAGGGTGACGTGGCAAAGGGGCAGAAGTTGGCAGAAGACAGCAAGAAGCAACATAAATGGGAACAAGCCTCTTTTTCTCCCTTGTGTTGTGAGCAGGCTACCCACCATGGGGCAGCTGTAGCACTCACTATATCCATGGCCTCCTCTTGCACAGCCTCAAGATGTTTTCAAAGTGAAGACCCTGGCTGCTGCAGAGCCACTTAAACTTTTAAACTTCTTAAGCTGATACAATGAAACAACTATTACAATAGCATGGATGGGAAACAGCCACCCTAGGGCATGTCCTCTACACCCCAGGATGTAGAACTGCTGAGTTAGGTAGTTAAGCTTTTAAACTTCTAAGGTGGCACAATGTATCAGCCATTATAGAAACAGAATTAGATGAGAACCAAATCAAATCTCCCGTAAGTCAACATTGACCCCAAACACCAGATTTTTTTTCGTCCAACTTGATTTGCAACCAGACTCATACAAGGAATCAAGCTAATGAGCTGAGACACCACTGTATAATTACCATATCACTAATAGCAAATTTACATTCAGTGTGTGTGTTATCTCATTTAAATCTTCCAAGTAATAGATGAGGAAACAGGCTGAAATACAGATGACTTGTACAAGTTCAAACTTTGATTTGTTAGGACTGTCTGCCATCTAAAAATCACACTTCAACAGTAAACAGTCCTACAGGCTCAGGACTGGCCACATCCATCTCCTTGGCCTGTGTGCCCCTCTCCTGCATTGTCCTCCATGCTGGATGCCACGGTAGTAGGACCAGGTCCCGAGGCTGCAAGATAGGCAGTAATTCTCACCAGACACAGCAGTGAAGAAAACGGGTTTGAGCAAAGCCTCTGTCACAGGCTCTGATTAGCTCTGACTGGCCAGCAGTGGTCATGTGCACTCTGGGTGGAAGAATGAGACCAGGAACTCAAGCCCAGGGGCATCTCAGGGTGTGAAGGAGGCTCATCCCAAAGTAAAACCAGAGGGAGGCGCTTAATTCCCAGAAGATGGGCTGTAGCAGGAGAGGAGGGTATGAGGGCTGGAGGATCAGAGAGGGAAGCTGGACTGAGCCAACCTTTAACAACCCCAAACTCAGCAGTGCTGCACATGTTCACAGATGCGGTGACCCTGAAACCTCTCAAGTTCTCCTGGCTCCATAGCAGTTTGCAGGTGCTTTTATTATTGTTCAAGTCACGTTTGTTTCCCATTGGTAGTTTACCCGGTGAGAAAGTGTTTGTGGAAATGTGCTGCATGCCCAAGCAGTTATTCATGCCCTCCTATGCTACACCAGCCCACCCTAGGACCCACGCCTTTAGGCAGCCTTACAATTGTGGAGAGCAACGTAAGACAGAGAAGCCCACAGATTTGAGAGCTCAGGAGCCTAGAAAGTAAGACACTTAGAGGCAGGGACTCCTGAAAAACAGACGAGATGGTTTTTCAGGGTCCTCCACAGCCCCAGAATTCCCTGAAATCAACAATTCAGTGGAATAATCAAAGGATACTAAGTCCTGGAGTTGGTGACATGAAACACTTGGGCCAAGCCACGTGCAATCTTCTGGTCATTCCAGCTGACTGGAAATGTTATCCTTATCCCAAACTAGTTAGAGTTTCCTACAGAATTCCTCACTTCCACCATGTGTAATTAAGTCTAACATCAAAAGTTGTCCATATTGTTTGAGTATTCTGGTGCAATAGAGAAGCAAAAGTAAAAAATCAACAGTTTTGATAAGGTGAGCACGTGAAAAGGAGCACACAACTCATGGCAGCTGGGCTGTCTCCTTCGACCAGATACAGAGAGATATGTGACCTCTGATGGAAGTAGTGCATGGGGCAGATATTGATGACATGTGAGCAACTGATTGGAATTCTCTGTGTGCACAGACAGAAAGACGAGTTGCAGTTAGGGCTGAAGAAGAAGCAGGAAGTGGTAGGCATTGCTGCTCTGGGCCTCCGCCACGTTAGACCACCGCCATAACTGTAATTTATCCTAGGGCAAAACTGTTTCACGTATGTTCTTATTTATACATTTCATGCTGAACCATAAGCTTACTGAACACACTGAATCCTCTGCCTACACCCAAGGATTGAGATTGTCACTCTTGTAGAGAGAATTACAGACAGGACAGCCTCCAAAAAGGAGGGGAGCTGTTACCAGAGACATAGATCGGTGGCCTGAGCCTGGGATTCCAATGAAGCAGGGCTGGCCACTCATGCTAAAGAAATCCAACAACAAAGTAATGGTGAAAGGCAGCAAAGATACTTTGATCAGTTTCCAGTGTCTAGCTGCGGTGGGTAGATAAGTGGACCAGTGTTTGCAGCCTGTCTTTGCAGGCTGACATGAGCACCCAGAATACAGAGACAAGGGAATGAGAAGTGTGAGCTGACAAGCAGTCCTGGGCAAAGGTGGTCTGGCTGATCATCCCCTCAGGACTGCTCAGGGTGCCCTCTCAGAAGGAGTGATAGGCAGATTCTGTTGCAGTGCGTGGCTGTGCACACCTGTAATCCCAGCACTTGGGAGGTTGAGCAGAAGGATCACCAGGAGTGTGAAGTCAGCCTGAGCTACAGATTGAACTGCATAGTGAGACCAAAGCAAGCAAGCAAAGCTAGAAACAAAGGCAGACAGGAAGAAAGTTGCCTATGGGGGTTTTCGCGCCTCGCAAGACATTTATGGATGGCTCAGAGAATCCAAGGGGACCACCAGGGAAGATGACTCAAAGGCAGAAATGTCAAAGTTTGTAATCCTGCTTTCAGTCACTCATGGGACATTTGCAGGCCCATGTGAAGTCATTCTTTTTAGTAAAAGTAGCCTGGCAGTTTGTGGAACAAGACCATACACTCAATAGACAGTTGTACAAATGGCAGCCGCCATGGGTTTCCACTGTTGAAGACATAGGGACACCTTTCTTGCCCAGAAACAAAGGAGCAGAAGACCCCAACCCGAGCTCAGTGCAGGTTTCTGCCAAGAATTGGCCTGTTCCCCAGCTCTCATGTGCACTCTTAGGACCTGCCTGGACCTCCTCACCCCAATACTGTGGTCTGAATTCAGACCCTGGGCTCCCACTTGACCAAAGTCTCCAAATCTAAAGTACCCAAAGCACAGTTGCTACAGACTGCTCCTGACACGTGCCCTTCACTGGCTCGATCACTGTGTCTGATATTAACTTACCGTGGAAAGAAAAAAAAACTACAGGACCAGAAGAGGAAAAGTATACCCCAAGGCTTCACATGTTATGAGCTGACTTGAAGTTACGCATCGCAGTGTGCCCAGGGGTCACGTGGTATAAAGAGCACTTAAAACAGGTATATGTTTTCCTGGCTCCAAATGTCCAGGAAGGAGGCCCACGAGTCATTTTCATCCCATCCTTTCCCAGCCTGTGCCCGACTCCCACGCCACCCTGCTCACTGAATACCCACCACCCTGCTGAGCCCATCCTTCCGTCTCAATCTCAGCCTTTTCTGCAGGGTTATGTATGTCTTCTTGTACCCACAGAGTTGGCTCCTTGTCCTCTCTTACAGTCTGAAGACACTCACAGCCGAGTCTTTGCTTAACACAGGGGACACGATGCGTGTTAAGAGGCATGTCACATATCATGAAGCATAAAAGTGAGTGGGACCTAGGGAGAACAGAACCTCCTCTTTTTGTAGGTGCTGGGTCATTAAGTCGTAGCCATCCCGATTCCATGAGCACAGGAAGCCAAAGTGTCTCACAGTAGCTGAGGCAGAGGGACGTGCCTCAGACTCCCGGGTTCTGTGCTGAACATCAGTAATCTTAGGTGCCATGACTCATGCAGCTCTCAAACTTCCTGGGGTGAGGACCGTGAAGGGCGGTGAAAAGGTGAAGAAATAAGGGCAAGACACACAAAGCTGGGATCAGGTGGGCCCTCTCTCTGGATTGGAGGAAAGGAACTGCTCAACCACCTTAGCCCATTTATTTAGGCACTCAGGGAATTGATGTCAATTTCAACCCCTCTGCATAGCAGCTTATTTGACTGACTCACCTGGGCACCTTGCCTTCCAGAGCTGGAACAGCTTGTTATGTGGCTCACTTTGGGCTCTCTATGTTCACAGGCCTGGCCTTGCATTAGCCCCACACATGTGATCCATCTCCAACTTCAGCCACTTCCTACACCTGGGGACTTGGAGGTTCACATGTCCCCCAAATTCTGATGGCCCATCTCCAGAACACTAAGCCATGTGACAGCAGGCAGCAAGGTCTGTATGTCCCCATGTTTCTAGACTCTATAGTGGGGCAGTGTCTTGGTTAAAATCCTTTAGAGTCTTAGGGTCCTTAATTAAAACTCTAATTTGAGGCTTTAGATATGCGGCTTTGTGTATTTGGCCAGATTACTTATATTCTTTGAGCTCCATTTCCTGTGCAATGATGATAAGACAAAAAGTATGCTTCCACGGATTATTGGGCTAAGTGTTAGGAGTCTATAAATGCCAAACCCACATGCGTGTTTGGTTACAGAAACTGGTTATCCTGGCTGCCAAGGACAAGAAGGCCACACTGGCTCCCTCAGAAGCAGGACACAACAAAGGATCCGAACAGCAGTTCCACTATGCCGTGTGTTACATGCACACATCAATTTGACTATCAAGACTTATTTTCTTACTGCATGGCTAGAAGTGCTCTAAAATATTATAGGTTTTAATGTAACAATACGAAACAATGTGAAAAAAAGATTTGCCAGTCACTGGAGGCAATTCAGGGTCACTCCAAGGGCGCCTTCTTGATGGCCGACACTGTGGGCGCTGCCTCTGTGGTGACTCCGTGGAGCTCCCTGGAGAACAAGGCCAAGGCAGTGAGGCTTTCTTTATTTTTCATTTTAGATTGCAATTTTAAGTCATCCCCAGCCACTTACCCTGCATGCTTTGTGAAAATCTCACCTGCACACTTCAGGTCTCCATAGGACAAAACATATACCTTAGTTCACAACCACAATAAGCAATTTCAACCTAGACCTGGCATCCTGAAAACAGTTGCACGATGCTGTGCTTTTGGAAACTCCATCTGTTATCAGGGCCTCACAAGGTCTCTGAGAGAGACCTCTGCACCTGGCACAGCCTGAGACACAGGCAAGATTATCACCCCATTTTCACCATCAGTTGGTGACACTCTTGCAGTGAACAAACTGCATAACTATACTATGAGGAAACATTTCACTCTTTCCAGAGTCTTTCACATCAGTCCCCCATCATACTTAGCCCCACATGCAGCCCTCCCTGTGGAATAAACAGGTGTTTCTATTTTCCTAGCTGGTTCACCCTACTCATCAAGCAAAAACTCAAGTCCAACCTGTAAAGATATACAGTTCAGAGATTTTCATACCAAGGACTGTCTCTGATGAGTGAATTGTGAAATCCCTTTAAAGGATAATTAATACTAAAAAACAGTGTGTCCTTTTTGAGCCATATGTGGTGGTAGACACTTGTAATCCCAGTATTCTGAGAGGCTGAGGCAGGAGGGTGGCAAGTTAAAGCCCAGCCTCAGCAACCTGGCAAGACCATGTCTCGAATACATAAATCATCACAGAAAAAGAAACTGAAGATGCAACTCAGAGCAAAAGGCCCTGAATTCAATCTCCAGTACCATCAAGAGTGAAAGAGGAGAGTGCCTTGTGCAATACAAACAGAACAAAAAGAAATCAAAATGCACTGTCTCAGAGACTAGTGCAGTCGATGGTGTCTACATACACCGACCCCTCATAAAGCATGGCTCAGTCCAAGCGCAGCATAATCAGAGGAGCAGTGCCAGCTGCTGGCAAGGCACCACCCACTTTCTGACACTCACTAGCAGTGTGACCACAGGGCAAGGCAGTCTCCTGTCCTTTCTCTCCAGTTCTTCATTGCAAAAAAATGAGGCAAACTACCATTATGTAGATCTCTCCCAAGGAGAAGGCGGTGCGGTTTGTGTAAAGGAACTCAGGAGGCTCACAAGGGAACCGGAAGCCTGAGAGGATGAGCTTCTCCCCCTCCACGGATGGATGGAAGGATTCCATCTTCCACCAGCCTCAGCCTAGCACCGGGGCTTCCTGTGCCGCCCCACAAGGCTTCTCCACCACAGGAGCAGGCGTACCCCAACCTGCCACCTCTACCCTCGGTACTGGATGCCTGGTGCAGCAGATGTCTCCCTGCTTGTCCCGCTCATCTCAGCTTCTTTGCAGTGAGGGGAGGCATCAGGGGGAGGGAGGGTTATTGTGCTGCAGGTGGGCCGTGCACCGTGACATTGGGGTATTTAAGCATAGATGAGTTCTAAGTCCTCCTCTAGCCCTAGTTCTAATTCTGATTCTAATTTTGGTCCTGGTCTTGGTTGTGGTTTTAGTTCTGGTTTTGAAGTTTTCCTTTAAAAATCATATTTACCTTGAGGACTCTTCTTCATTTTCCTCTGAAGCCCGTTTTTGGGAATAAATCTGTTGTGGGGGTAAACAGTCATGAGTATCCAACACCAAGACCACTACCTCCCATTCTTCACTTGTTCCTTTTCTTTATCTAAATCTTATTTAGTCGGGGATGGTAGTGTGCTGGAGACTGAGGCAGGAGGATCAACATGAACTAGAGACAAGGTGAATTCAAAGCCAGCCTCAGCTACATAGTGAGACCCTGTCTCAAAATACAAAGCAAAACAAAATTTTATCTGAGTGACATGATAACATTTCTGAAAACTAGAATTTGGCCCTGTTAATCATAGTTCATTGACTTTCCCAAAGCACCTACTTCAAATTCTTGTGCAGCTGGCACAATCTGTTTGTTTTTTGTCCAGCACTTGAATTGAACTCAGGGCCTTTGTAGTGAAGTGTTTCCAATGTGTGTGTATGTGTGTGTGTGTGTGTTCTGAGAATTCCTCAAATATATATTAAATATTTATTATACTTATTATATATTATTATAATATATATTGTTTATATGTATTTTTGAGAAATCTTTGCAAATGGCCCATTGCCTTTTTCTCAGCCTCCCAGAATGATGGGAGATTTCAGGCATATGCCACCAGTCTCAGGCACTTAATACATCTTTTTGGCTATTTTAGGTAAAATTCAACTAGTAATTCCTAATAAAAATTCTTAAAAGAAGAAAACATTCTTAATTTGATAAAAAAACTAATAGAAATCTAAACAGCATTGTTTTAACGTGAAGAACAAAGCCAAGCATAGTGGCACGTGCCTTTGACCCTAGGGCTGGAGGAGACTGAACCAGGATTATCCCAATCTTGAGTGCAGCCCGAACTTTGACCTGTCATGGTGAGACATCCAGCTCAACTTGGCCACTTAACTGTACTCCAGATAAAAAAAGAGGCTATGAGCTGTGCAGATGAATAATACAGCAGGACCTTAGCTCACAAATGCTTTGGGGCTCTAATAAGTTGGTTTCTACAAAGAAGCATTTGGCAAAATTTCTTTTTGTTTGCAAACTGCGTCAGGTGACAAACACAACCATTGCCATCCTTGCCTCACAAACGTTCATCTTTTTCCAAAATTGTATAAATCAAATTCCAAAGCATCCATAAAAATTGTAGGAATTGAGCAAACAGGTCCAATCTAGGAACCAGAGCCATGTGCGGGCTGCCACCAGACTGGAAATAGTCAAACCCAAGCCTCTCCCCATTCGTGGACTCGAGGAAGAGAACAAGGCCACACCAGGGAGTAAGCCCAGTCTGGGAAATAGTGCCATATGGGGACTGCCACCAGACTAGGAATGGCCAGAACCAAGCCTCTCTCCATGACTCAGTACCATTCATGGACTAGGGGGAGAGAGAACAAGGCCATACCAGCGAGCAAGCCCAGTCTGCGACTGGGCTACAACAGATGGACCCTAGTCAATTCTGGTGTGCAGGCTGGCAATCAAGAAGTATTTCTCCTATCGCGTAAGCAGGAGGTTACCCAGAGAAATACAGGCTGTGATGATAACGGTGGAGGTGAAATGCAGTTGGATGCCTGTGGTGCTTTGGTCCATTTCACTAACATTGCAGGTCTAGGGCCAGTGGCCAGTGGTCTGATCACAGGTTCACAGGATAGCAGTACACTGTGTGGCATCCCCAACCCTCCTTCTGAGGGTTGCAGCCATTGTTGACTCCCTGTAGTCTTGTTTTAGAAGTCCTATGTCATTCCCATTGTTTTGTTGTGTTGGGTTTTATTCTCTTTTGTTTATGTTAGATCTGATGGCAGGAGCAGCTATATCAAGGATAGCAAGATACATTACGGTAGCCATTTTGGATTTACTATTGGCTTGTTTTGAAGTCCTTTACTGCATTCATTGTTTTGTTTTTACTGTTTCTATTCTGTTCTGTTCTGTTCTGTTTGATTTTTACTATGTTTGAAGTTATCTGCAGCTATTTTGAAGATATCAAAAGGCATTATGGTAACTATTGTTGATTTTGTATTGTTTTAAAGTCCTGTATCTCTCACACTGGTTTGTTTTAATTGGTTTTATTGTTTTATCCTCTGTTTTAAAAAATTAAGGAGAGGACTAAGGCACAGCAAGCTGACTGGGGAAGGAAGTGGGTATTTCCTGTCAACCATAGAGTTCTGGGACACAAGTACAGAACATTTTTCAAAGCCCTGCACTTGGAACCAATCAGAGAGTGCTATCTTCATTTCTTCTCTTGAGAAATCAAGCATTTTTTTTTTGTCTTTTTCCTTTTTATCGGTACCAGGGGTCAAACTCACGACTGCCTGCTTGCAAGGCAGGCGCTTATGCCGCTGAGCTAAATCCCCAGCCCCCAGAGAAATCAAGCATTTTTTTGATAAGACAGTCAAGGTTGGAGAGCAGCCATTTTCCTCATGGCCACTGTGTCTCTTTCAGTGCAGTCTGTTCTCCCCTACTTTTAACTAACCTGCACTCTGCAGAGCATGTTTCTGTTCCTACCTTTAATAAATTTAAAGGTCACGACATTTGTTCCTGTCTTGACCAATTCTTTCACAGGACAGAAGGAACCTAGAAAAAAAATCTCTAAATGGGGTTCCCAGTACCTCAAAACCCAGTAATATTACCAGATTCAGAACTCAAACTATATAACAGCTGGAATAAAGTCAGGTAGTTCAGTATTAATACAGGAAAAGAGAGTTTGCTCAATAGGAAAGAGTCCTCCCAGGAAGCCTGAAGTAATTGTGATGCTTACCTCAATGAGACAGAAAATTATCAACACAATGATCCCTATTCCCGTCACAGATACTGTCAAGATCAGTTTGTTCTTATAGCCGAATCCTGGAACTTCTACTGTGAGCTGAGAGACAAATAGATGAGACAGGGAGGGAGGAAAAAGAGGAAGGAGAGAGAGAAATTTTTGTTAAGTAACAAAGGTGGGACAGATGACAGCTGACTATTCAAATCAAATTCTTACAGGGGAGTAGTTTGCAAGGCGATAAAAACATATGCGGTGGACCATGTTACAAATAGTATTATGCATGTTCCTTTCTAGTTTATCTTATATGCCAGGTCATCTTCCTTCTCTCAAGGAGCAGGGTGGAGATCACCATCCTGACCACAGTTACGTGGCCAGGACAAAGTACAGACATGGGGGCCCTTTTGTGCTTCACAGCAGACCCTCATTTTGGGCAGCTGTCCTCACCTCTCTTGACTGCTGCTCCTTCTCTTCATTCTTGTCTTCTGTGCTCTGAATGATGTAATTCTCATTTGTCCAGTGCTCCACATCCCACTGGGCCTTGGACACCTTGGCTTTTTGCTGCTCACTGAACAGCTTCAACAGGAGGCCTGTCTTGGAGATGAGCTTGGCACAGGCCAACTGCACTTGGGTCTCAGAGCAGTCCAATAAATTCCTGATAACAAGAGAAACCAGCCTTCTGATGTCATTGTTGGGGATGAGGGGCCAGAGTTGCTGATTTATGTAAATCTCAAACTGATCATGTGAGGATGACAGCGACAGGGGGGTGAAGTCTTTGAGCGGTGAGTCAGTGCCCATGTTGGGGTGTTCCCACTGTGCCTTTGTTGTGTAGTTCACAGCTGGTATTAGGTTGAATGCAGTCACGGCAGAGTATGCAGCAGAATGATTCTTGTGAGTTGTGTCTTTGGAGATAGTTTCTTCTGGCACACTAATGCTTAACGCAAAATCTGCTCCTTTGAAAGTATCTGCTGCAGTATGGTTTTCTACAGGGGTGCTTTCTACAGAAAGTTCTGAAGGAGCATATAATTCTGAAACAGGAGTCTCCTGAAAACTGGGCTCTCCTGAAGATGAGAAGAACGATCCTGATGGGAAACTGGTGAGAGTCCTCACTGCTGAGAATTGAGACCTCTTTACAAGCGGTTGTCTACTGTGTGTGTTTTGCTTTCTCAACTTGTCACTCAGCTTGGCCTTGGGTGTTCCCCGGGCCATGAGAGAATGAGTTTTGTGAAAGTGGTGAGGGTTTCCAGGATGTAAGACTGGTTTTGTACCCTCTGTGGTTTTAACTCTAGCATTTGCATTTTGTAAATCCAAAATGTAGTTGAAATCATTTGCTCTCTTTCTCACCTTGGGCAGGGCTTTGGCAGGGATGGAAGGAGATGTGTCCATGGAGGGATGTTTTAGGAAAGAAGAAGCTGTTACTTTCTGTTTGTCTGTGAGGGAGGGCTCTATGCGGAAAGAGTTTTCCACGAACTTCCTGGGTCTTGGCATCCCCTGATGCTGCCCCACCTCCTGTGGGATGAATCTCCTTAGGCTTCCCTCTTTGGTGACATCTTCTAAGAATGGCTGGGCAGCCCACTTATCCCCGGCTTTCTGTTTCCTTTCTTCCTTGAAAACACTTTGTTGTGGATGCTTCAGCTCCTTGAGAAGGGTCTTAGAGCTTGGAAGCATTTTCCTTTCACCCTCCACCTCTGCCAGGCTGTTTTCCTGTGTTTCAGGACTTTCCACTTTGTTTGCAAAGATTTGGAGTCTGAATTGGGGATCTAAATTCCTAGATGGCATAAGCATGACAGTTTTCTCTTTCTTTTTTGTGTCATCTAATATTTCCTGAATTTTTGCATTTAACAACTTTTGGAGAAAATGTAACGTCTTCAGTTTATCTTTGAGACTCAAATTGCCAGATCCAAGTTGAGCAGAGGAGTTTCTCATACTGTTTTCCAAATAAGCCAAGGAATTATCTCCATTTTGTGTATTTGAAAGAAGGAGACGAAGGAATGGTAATATTGTTTTCTCTGTGTCTTCTAGATTTCCCTCTAGGAAGTATGGCAGTGTGAAGCTAGCTGTTTTAGTAATATCACTTTCATCATTAGTGTCTAGCTGCTTTTTCACAAGGCCTGACAAGTGCAAACCACCCCTTTTTGAAGATGCCTTTTCTGGCTTGATAGTCAGCATAGTGTTGGTGCTCATCTTTCGGGCTTGTAACACCTTCATCAAGGCTTCTTCAAGGTTCTCTATGAGGGCTTGTCCCACTGTCAGAAAAAAAGAGACTGCTCTCAATCAAGGGAGACTGAATAGCCAGCTTTTTGTCAGCCCACAGCTAATGATGCCAATCAAAGTTAGCAGTCGGTAAGTATTTCAGTACCATTTGGAAGAGACAAAAAAGAAACGCAAACTTAAAACTATGAAACATGTAACAGGAAAGTGAAAAAGCAATGAAAGATTTATGAGATCTGATGAGAAAACAAGAGTGATTTTAACCAACTCAGACAAACAACTTCTATCTAGAACTTACACCAAATCCAAAAAATGGGCATCTAAGATGAATGCACACTTCTCAGATGAAGAAGAGCAAATGGTAAATAAATATATACAGAAATGTCCAACATCACTGGTCATTCAAGAAATGCAAATTAAAATAACACTGAGATTCCATCTCCCTCCAGAAATAATGGCTCTGAATATCCAGAGGTCAACCAATGACAAATGCTGGAAGAGTTGTGGGGAAAAAGGAATACTTCTCCACTGCTTGTAGGAGTGCAGGATTGGTTCAGCTCCTGCTGAAGTCAGTGTGGAAATTCCTCAAAAACCTAGGTTTGGAGGTCCCACTCGATCCAGCTAATCTCCTTCTGAGTATTTTCCCAGAAGAACTGAAGACATCATACCACAGCAATATACATGTGCCCATGTTTATAGCAGCTCAATTTGTAATAGCTAAATTTTGGAAACAACCCAAATGCCCATCAACCACCGAATGGATAAAACATATGGGGTATTTTTTTTTTACAAATGGAATACTACCCAGCTATGGAAAAAGACAAACTTGAGCCTTTTATAGGTAAATGAATGCAACTAGAGGCTATAGTAAAATAAATCAGGCTCACATGTGTATAAACTCTGCATTGTCTCCTCAGTGTAAAAAGCTGAAAGACTTAATAAGACCCAAAATATATGCTAGATACTGTGAAAGTGAAAGAGGATGAAACTGCTCAAAAGGAAAGAACAACTGCTATGGGGCAAGGAGAATAAAGAAGGGAAAATATATATATTAGATATTTATACTACTAATCTCTGTTCCTCAAAATAACAGTTTGCACTTTCATTGTTTGATCGTTTTTCATACCTTTATCTTATGATCTGAGTATCTACTTTGAAGATAACAATACAGAATATAGTAGCCATTCTTACTCTCCAGTTACATTGATTTGAAACTCTGTACCATCGTTTTTAGTCTTTTGTTTGTTTTAAAATAAAATTTTTTTAAAAAGCAAGAGAAAAAGAACTCTCTTGCTACCATGACTACCTACTCAGAACATTCCATAGTGTAGGGTACAGCAACTTAACTTAGCCAAATAATCGATACTTAATAAAAGGCCAAATGCTGGCCAATACGTCCCCACTCAGCAGCCCTCTCTGCAGCCCTTCCACGCCTGCTCAGATTCTGTATACCATAACATCACACCGCAGGTGCAGAGGGAGCGCAGGAATTCCTCGCTCCACCTCTTCGGTGTGTCGTGTTCTCGCTACTGTCACAGATGACCACGAGGAAGGACAGTCCTCCTGTGACAGTGAGCCAAAGTGTTCTCTCCACCTGTTCACCACATACCTTCACTTGGCCCTGCTCTCACATGTCCTAGGCTCCATAACGAAAGACTCTACCAGAACCAAATACTGTCCTGCTCTGGTTCTTTTCTTAAATTGGGTCAGGGACCTGGGGTGTAGGTTCAGAGACTTTTAATTTGCTTGGTTTTATGCCTGTGTGGAGTAATGCACAATACATTTTCAGAATAACAGCAATTTCTGGACAAACGTGATTTAAGGTCTTAGCGTACAAGGAGTAAAAACTGTTTCTATCAGATGCCTGCCCTACGTTCACTTCTGTTCTAATATTTCTAAGCATCTGAAGCTACTGATGATACGAAAGTCATGGACTTGTAACCTGTTTTCTCTTCCAGAAGAATAAGTGACTGTGGTGGTGGTGAGGGCCAGAGGAGGAGTTAAGATCATGACCACAGAGGAACATGGGCTTCTGGAGAACCCAGAATTGGGGGCAGAGGGCTGGCATGAGGCTCTAGCACATGACATCTCTAATCTTGCTTTCCTTGTCTATAAACAGAGTTAAGAAATTCTTCCTTTGCTTGTATTTCTAGGGAATGAAGGAGTAATATTGTAAGTAAAAAATTATTTTTAAAAGCCAAGCAACATTGCCTTTTCAGAAAGAGCAAAGTGCCATTATTCATGATTTGTCCCAGATCACTGGTAGACATCTGTATTCAAACTCTCTGGATGTGAAAGCAGTCACATGTTGCAAGCATGAAGCAAGAGCTAATAAACCTGACATACAGAAAAATCCTTAAATGCACCTGAGTCATGTGAGACCCAGGAAGAGCACAGTGTAGGACAGTCTGGGCATGGAAGAACCCTGCATTCCCTTAGAAGAGACAGGAAGCAGTTTCTGGTTATGCAATTAGAAACTCCTGGGCCTTAAACAAAATAATCTTTTGCACAATTGCAAAAACAAGACAAAAGTGATCTCCATGTGCCCCAAGGTTGAGGAAACTTGAGCCCCTGAGTACATAAATCAGCTTACAAACTGCATTTCACTTTATGAATTAAGTTTTCACTGGAAGGCAAAGCACCAGACAGCAAGCACTGTGCATGGTGTGCAGCCAAGCATGGTGTGCCCTCCCCTTCCAGCCCTTCCTCTGAGTCCTTTGAATATGGAACAGTTTTGTTATTGCAACATGCGGTACTAACTGAGAACCTGTCTGCAGGGGACCACTTCAAAACTTTATGAGGCTTAACTCTGATGAATGAATAAGTGTAAAACAGTTATATCATTAGTTTACAATCTTATCATCACCATTTAAAATTAAAAAGCAAAATATAAGTAAAAATATCATCAGGCATAGACTCACCACACTGAGTCGTGTGAAGCACACATGTGCTGTCACAATGTAGCTTGACTGTCTTGCCGACCACCTCAATATCATTTTTAAACTGGCAGAGGCAGCAGACCATATTGCTCGGTAAGATCCTGCAGACAGGACACAGAGATCTGAGTTAATGGAAAGCGGCTCCTTGAATGGTAAAGAGGCAGGACGAGGCTCCACAGCGTGGTGCAGGAAGGAGTGCGGGAGGCAGCCTGTGCGGCTGGGTAGGAAGCCAACAGCCACTGCAGCTTTTGAATATTGTGAGTAAATAGGAGGGAGAGAGGGGTCCCCAGAGAAGGGTAAGCTCAGCAGTGTGTGTGGTGGGCCTCACATGAAGGTCCTGGAGATTAGTGCTGAGTGACAGGAATGTGTTCCTTCATTCAGAAGCATCTCTTTTCTTTTTTTTTTTTTTTTTTGGTCTTTTTTTCATTTTTATCGGTACCAGGGATCGAACTCACGACCGCCTGCTTGCAAGGCAGGTGCTTATGCCGCTGAGCTAAACTCCCAGCCCCGAAGCATCTCTTTTCAACCTCAAAGTCTCACTCAGGGTTGGGAGTGCACAAGAAGAATGTTGACTTCGAAAGAGTCTAAAAGGATATCAAAGACCTCAATATTGAAAAATACAGTACTCTGGAAAAGCAGAATGAAAAGAATGTTCAAAATGGAGAGCTATCCCAGTGTCTTGGGTTGGAAGAACTGATATAATGAAAATGACCATACTTCCAAAACAGATTCAATGCATTCCCAATCAAAATTCCAGTAGCATATCTCACAGAATTAAAGAAAACAATCCTAAAACTCATCTAGAACCAGAAGAGACTAGAGTAGCAAGGCAATCCTCGGCAACAAAGGTAAGGCAGGAGGAATCACAGTCTCTGACTTGAAATTATATTATAAAGCTAATGTGATAAAACCAGCATGGTACTGGCAAAAAACAGACCTGAAGATCAATGGAATTGGAATAGAACATGCAGAAACAACTCCAGATACACTAAGCCACCTTGTCTTTAACAAAGGTGCCAAAGAAATTCACTGAAAGAAAGCCTCTTTAATAAATTGTTCTAGAAAACCTAGCTCTACATCTCCTAAAGAGTAAAACTGGAACCATATTTTTTACCATATACTAAGTCTAAATCAGAATGAATCAAAGATCTTAATATTAAAACAAACAATAAATCTTCTGGAAGACAGAAGTAGTAAAACTCTTGAAGACATTTGTTAGGCAGAGACTTCATGAACAAAACCCGAATTGCACGGGGACTATCACAAAGAATCAACAAGTGGGATCTCATCTTATTGAAAAGCTTATGCACAGCAGGGAAAACCACCAATACAGAGAAGAGATAACCTGCAACGTGGGACAAAAATGTTTGCCAACTGTTCCTCAGACAAAAGATTACTGTTGAGAACCTATAAAGAACTAACTAAAAAAAAAAAAAATCCTCCCAGATTTGAAGACCCAATCCAAAAATGAGCATTTGAGATGAACACACACTTCTCGGATGAAGAAATACGAACGGCAAATAAACATAAAAAAATGTTCAGCCAGGGATTTAGCTCAACAGTGTAAGCACCTGTCTGGCAAGAGCGAGGTAGTGAGTTCTATCACCAGTACAAAAACAAAAAAGAAAGAAAGAAATGTTCAGCAGCATCACTGGTTATTTGAGAGGTGCAAATTAAAACAAAACTGAGATTACACCTCACCCCTGAAAGAATGGCTAGTATCAAGAAGTCAAGCAAAAACAAATGCTGGAGGGGCTCTAGAGGAAAAGGAACCATTCTCCACTTTGGTGTAGACTGGTGCAACCACTGTGGAAATCAGTGTGGAGGTTCCTCAAAAAAAAAAAAAAACACACACACACACACAAAAAAAAAAAACCTCTCTTGAATTGGAGCTCCCATTCAACCCAACAAATCCCCTTCTGGGTAACATCCCAGAAGAACTGAAAACATCATACCACAGTGATATACGTGTAGCCATGTATACAAGAACACATTTATAATAGCAAAATCTTGGAAACAATGCAAATGCTTATCAGCCAAGGAATGAGTTAAAAAGATGTGCTGTTGTTATACAATTGAACACTATTCAGTCATAAGGAAAGATAAACTGGAGACTTTTATTGGTAAATGTATGCAGCTTGAGACCCTGCATGTAAATGAAGTAAATCAGATCAACATCACATTGATGTAAACATCACATTGTATTTCTGGTGTGAGAAACAAAGAGTAAATAAGGACCACAATGTGCAATACATGTTATGAAATGAGAAGTGATTTGAAAGGAAAGAGGAGCCACGATGGGGGCAGAGGGAAAGGAGGGTAGGGAAAAGAAAAAATATATATATAAGATAGTTATACTAGTTTCTTGTAGTTCACTGAAAAGAAACTGCCATGCTAATACCATTTTGGAGAATTCGTTATGCCTATATCTGGTACTCTGAATAACTACTTTGAAGAAAACAATACACAATATATTAACTTTTAATATTCTATTATTTTGTTATAAAATTTAGTTTATTAAAAAAGAAATCAGACACAGAAGCTTAATATCACATTGCTTTCCTCCAGTGTGAAACTGAGTTAAAAGAAAGAGCAAAGTAAGTGATAGATAATAGGAAGTAGGGAGACAGATTGTTCTCAGAGGGGAAGGCAGTCAAGAAGTGGGGGGTAAGGGATGATGCAAAGAAGTTGGGATGTGTTTTATACACGCACCAAGTCCGTACAAAAGTGCAAGCATTATGTACAAACGCATAGCAAAAAAATAAGGACCACCAAGAGATGAAAGGGTGAAAGGGGCAGGGAGGGAAGAGAAAGAGGTGGAGAAAGAAATTGAGATGTATTGTGCACTCGCCCTCCTCCTGTACGCAATGGAATCATTAATGGAATACACAGCTATCCTAATAAACCAAAATAATTTCCTTAAAAAACTAACCAAAATACCTTAGTCAAATAAATTTAAGAAAAACAAAGCTAACTCACAGTGTTTTCAGTCCTAGAGCCATTGTGATTATATTCTCAAGCGCTGTAAGTGGGACATGTGTTTGTCCTAAGTCTCTGAAAAAGAAAGCTCAGTCAGTCATGAGGAATCCCGACACAAATACTCTGTACTTACACAGGTATTTCAAGAAAGTGTGGTTAGTTCAATTTTCCCCATTAACAAGCCAGCACATGATTTTATCACAAAATATAATCCCAGAGTTTTTCATGAAAAAGTTCAACTTTAATATTTGCACTATCAAATTAATGACTAACATTCCGTAGTAGAGCCTATACCTTTTTGAAATCATCATCTTACTTTTCAGTTTTATATTGTAGTCACCTCTATGTGTGTTTTTTATTTTTAGTAACAATGCCACTATGCTTTTGAGGTAAATGATGAGTCTGCCTCCGTTTATATGTTCCATTTCTACTGTGTTCTTCAACAGTGCTCTCTACCCCTGCCAGCTCCCTTACCCATTATATATCTTAATTATTTTCTTTCCAATAACTTTTTTCAATAGCTGCGTTAAAATTCAAATTAAACTTAAAATTATGACTTTCAGAATCAAGATACAATACTTAACCACTGATGAAAGGAAGCAAGAAGAACAGAAGTTATATTACATTTACACAATTATTGGAATAGAATACTTACAAATATTTTAAGGCTGGTAATTGAAAAAGAGATGAGTCCTCAATGGCTGACAGAGGATTATGATTGAGAATTCTGAAAGGCACAATGGAATTAAAATTTCACTATGCCTGAGGTTACATGAAAAGGTTTTTTTTTTTTTGGTATAGAACTTACATGGTAAAAAAGCATTTTCTGTGACTACACATGTAATAACCCTTAGAATTCAGAAAGCGTTCTTTCTTTGGGGGTCAAATAGGTCTCTAAAAGATAAGGTGGAAATGAGAAAGAGGGAGGCAAAAATATTGAATAGCATGGATAAAAAAGGAAAAATATGTGAAAGAACAAAAACCCTAAAATTGACTGCTCTGATAAGAAACCTTCACCCTACAGGAAATTCTATAGTTAGCATCCTTCATAACTCAAGCGGCTTGCCTTTCATCTTTAGAAATTTAAATAAAATCATGGTCTGATTCACTAAGAGAAAAAACATGTGCTAGGCATGGTGGTACACACCTGTAATCCCAGCACCCAGGAGGCTGAGACATGAACATTGAGGCCAGCCTGGGCTACACAGTGAATTCAAGATCAGCTGAAACTACATAGTGAAACCCTGTCTCAGCAACAATGACAAAAAAGGCAGTTATGTGGGGAGGGGTGCAATTCCTTGGTTTAGAGTCAAAGAAAAAAGTTTTAAACATCTAAGAGGTGGGTCTTAGTAACTTTTCTTCATGAAGGAGACCATATCAGACAGCCGCACAAGGAAGGAAAAAGCCTTTATTTTGGCTCACGTTCCAGGGCATCGCCAGCTCCAAGGCAGGAAAGCCTGGTGGAAGGGCCTGAGTGGAGGAGAGACACTCACAGCCCAGCAATCCTGAAGCACAGAGTGAAGGGAAGAGGCAGGAGGAAGATAACCCATCCACACCACACTCCTGTGACCCACTTCTTCTGAGCCCCACCTCAGCTATAACACCCCCATCATCCAATCACCTCCCAAAGCTCCACCTAGGACTGAGGGAGGCTTTTGGAGGACATTTGGATAAAAACTGTAACAAGGGGGAGGTAATTAAAGCCATATTTGCTCTATTACTCCCATCTGTTTTCCTGTATCACGTTAATGCCTGACATAGTGCCTAAAATTTACTAGGTTTTTAATAAATGTTCGCTGAATATATAAAATTCTCTTTTCATATCAATGAAATGAATACATTCACACATGCATGCTCCCATGCACACATGCCTTTTAAGAGATATAATCTGGCCTAGACTAGCATCAAACTCCTAGGATCAAGCACTGTTGCAACCTCAGGCTCCTGTGTGGAGACTGCAAACACAGGTATTGAACCCAGAGCCTTTGCACTAAGCTGTATCCCTAGCCATTCTTACATTTATTTTCAGAAAAATTCTCTCTAATTTTCCCAGGCTGGGCTCAGACATGTAATACTTCTGCCTTAACCTGGCAGGTGCTAAGATTACAGGCAATTACCACTGTGCCTGGCTATATTCATCGTGACGCAAATTTTTACTTCAAAATGCTGGAATATAATTTGTTTTCAATTCTTTACAGTAAGCAGACAACAACAAAAGAAATATGAGGAAAGGAAAATCTATGTTGAGGTTAAATCTACTCAGGAAATGTAAGTTATACTTCTACAGAATGCTTTAAGAATAGTAACTATTAGTAACAGTAGTTATGTTCAATATTTTATACTGAAGCCTCATAGTAATCCTAAGTGGTAGATATTAAAATTACCCCCACTTTACAAGTGAGGAAACTGAGGCACAGAGAGGTTATCTAACTTATCCTGAGTTGCCAGCTCCTTCTTGTGAGCCCGTGGCAGCCATATGGGCCACTGGGAGGAGAAAAAAGTCAGCTCCTCCTTAAGAGCCTGAGGCAGCCCTGCGGGCTGGGAGACAAAAAGAGCTGAGCCCCTCTCCACCTCCGTAAGCAATCAACTGATCCAGAGAAACACAGGCTGAGATCATAGCTACAATAGGAAAAAGTCTGGCAAATTCATAAATACAGAAATGACACACATATAGGCAACTAAGGAGTCAAAAAGAAGTCACAAGGGAAATCAGTAAATACTTCAACATCAATGCAAATGAAGTCATATACCACCAACACTTAGGACCTGGTTAGAGCATTGTGCAGAGGGAAAGATACACACCCAGATGCAAATATTAAAAATTCTCGCCAATAATGTAAAATTCTCCTGAATATAGTAGGAAAAAGAATAGTAACTTAAGCCCAAGACAGAAGAAAATAATAAAGAGTAAAACAAAAAAGTGAAATAAAAAATCCAAAACGGAAGAGAAAAACGGGCTGGGGATTTAGCTCAGTGGCATAAGCACCTGTCTTGCAAGCAGGCGGTCGTGAGTTCGATCCCCGGTACTGATTTAAAAAAAAAAAAAAAAAGAGAGAGAGAGAAAAACAATGTAACCAAATCCCTAACCCATATATAAAAACTGATACAAAATATAGCAAAAACCTAATGTAAGGGCTTAAACTATAAAACTCTTAGAAAAAAATATAAGAGCAAATGTTGGTAACTGTATTAGGCCACAATTTCTTATGTATGATACAAAGAGTTTTAACTACAGGGAAAATAAACAAGATTTTATGAAAATTAAAATTTTGTGCTTCAATTGGGCTTGGTGATGCATGCCTATCTCCCAAAAAATTTACAAATAGCTGGGTGTAGTGGTTCCTGGCTGTAACCTTAGTACTCTGGGAAATAGGAAGATTGAACGTTAGATCCCAGCCTGAGCAGCTTAGCAACTTAAGGAGATCCTAATAGAGAAAGGGCTGGGGATGTAGCTCAATGCAGAGGCCCAAGGATCGACCCCCAGTTTTACACAAAACAAAGGCAAACTACAAAATGTTTGTGTGTCAAAGGACACCAGTAAAATGATAAAAAGTCAGCCACCAGTAGAACATGTTTATAAATCATACGTCTGATAAAGGCCTAATACACAGAATATCCAGAATGTATAAAGAACCTTTACAACTCAGTAAAAAGATACATAAGGATTAAATGGGGAGAGGATTTGAAAGTAGTATTCAAAAAAGGTACATGGCCCGTATTCTCATGCAAAGATGTGTAATGTCTCATCAGTCTCCAATGTAAGTGAAAGCCACAATGAGTGTTTACACTGACTAAGATGGCCATAATTAAAAGACAGGTAATAACAAGTGCTGACCAAGATGGAGAAATTAGAAGCCACATTATTGTAGGTGAAAATGTAAAGTGTCACAGCCACTTGCAAGCAGTTCATGGGTGCCTCAAAAAGGTAAACTGAGTTATATATGACCCAACACTTCTAAGCCTTCAGTATGTCCCAGGTTGGCTCTCAACTCCTGAGAGCAAATGATGCTCCTGCCTCGGCATTCTAAATAGCTGGAACTACAGGTACATGCCACAAGTACTAATTGTGCAAATCTACCAAAGTAACTGTAAAATAGCTTGAGAGGCACAGCTCCCTCCGGATCAAATGATATGAATGTTAATGTCCAATACTAGTTGGCTCTCACTTTCTCATCTCCAGAAAGCAACTGCCTTTCTGTTAGGAAAACCTTCAAAGCAGATGGAACAAGTTGCTGTCTTCTCCATTATGTCTTCTCTAACCCACCCTCCACCCCAACTTTGCTTCAAAAGCAAACTGTCCTTGTTCTCCCAAGTTGAGAATCAACAGATTGACAAGGGGAGGTCACTACAGTTGAGAATTCAGGTGGAGTTAACCAGCTCCAGGTGCATCCTAAACCTCTCTCCAGGGAACTCAAAATTAAGTGTATGAACCTGGAGCTCTGACCCACAAGACAGGTCTTTCTCAGCAGAGAGGAATTTTCAACTTGAGTCTAAAATCCCCTTCAGGACAGAAAACATCACAGAAGTTTTCAGCTGAAAGTGAATAAAACCCTCACTGCTTAGGTTTGCTGCCACTGGCCTAGAACCACTTGTTTTCTCTATACATTTTTTTGCACTACAACTTAACATAAACAGCATCTTTTGCACATCTCCAAGGTTCCTGTTGCCTACAGGTCATTCATAACTTCAGAGGCCCATACTTTCTGAAACATAACATACTGGGTGGTTGGGGAGGGAACTGATTGACAGCAGGTTCTGAGGAATTCTTTCTGCTTTTCCACTGAGGAGGTTCTGGGACTCAGTACCTTTTGTTCTTTGGAGAACAGAGCATTAAACATAGTTCTTTGAAGCTCTGTATTGCATACAATGTAACAGAACTCTGCATGTGAGAAGGAATCAGAGTTAAACTCAAAAGTGGAATTTTAAGAACCATTCACTTGTCAGAACCACACCTCTGAGCTCTCTGCAGTGCTAATTTGAGTGTTACTTGGGCAGTGCCTGCAACACCTCGTACTGCTCATGCCAAATATCAGTATCTGGAAATACAGAGCAGGCTTCCCGGAAGTTGCACAAGTCAACCCGCACATGGTCGCACATGCTTATAATCCCAGCGCTCAAGAGGTTGAAGCAGGACAAATGAGTTTGAGGCCAGCATGGGCTCTCAGTGAGTACATGGCCAGCCTGGACTACATAGTAAGAACCTGTCACTAAGAAAAGTTATCTCTTAGCCTCTTTGTTGCCTAGTTTCCTCATTTGAAAATAAGGAACAGAGTCTTTGGCCCTACCTCCCTGAACACACTCGATCTCACCTGACAGGAGTCAGTGAATCCTAAGACATACTTCTCAGGGTTCGTGCAGGACTCAGACCCAGCTAACCAATAACACATTGATTTGGTTTTTACAGTTTTGTTTTGATTATTTTTACATGTGTTTGCCATTCATTTTACTTACACGTGGTGTAAAAACTGCATTCCATGCCATGTTTGAAATGTTCCAAAATTCAGTTCTATTAGTAAATTGCAATGAAGATTTCTATAAAAATGCATAAGCCAAAGAAGAAAGATATTAATTCTGGAGATTAATCACTTGGCGATGATTTCAATTTATACAGTACATGGTGAAACAAAATATCAATATTTTTTCCACCTACTAAAAAAATCTCACAGGAAGATACTGGCTTCTAATTTAAACTTTCATATTTACACTTGAAATGCACTAAATATGAAAGAGTGAATGCTTAATAAGTACTTGTCTTAAGTGATCTCCATTACTCTAGAACAGAATTTCACTGCTGCAGCACTAGTGACCTTTTGAGCTGGACAATTGTTTTTTGTGGTGTCTTATTGGACACTATCCGATGGTTCTCAGAATTAGAGGTCAATAGTAATAGCCACAGTTTCCAAATATCACCTGGGTGCAAATTCACACCAATTGAAGATCACTGCTCTGTAATGACTCTGTCTGACCTGTGAGATAATCCTTATACTAATCTTTGGTAGAGATTAATACAATTTCAAACCGAGTAATAACAAGGCTTATAAAATTGAATATATTATGAGGTTGTATTTGTAACTTACATGAACTTCAAAAAAACTAATGGTTCAAATGTGCCTCTTTCAATAAATTGTATTTTATTGCAGGATACATCTCTAGAAAAAATAAAAGGAAAATGTTGCCTTGAGTAGCTATTAGATATCTAATAAGTCTGAATAAATGCTAGACTTTTGAATTTTGAAAACTGAAAACATATTTTTGTCTAAATCATTATATTCAAGTTTGATATTCTGGACACCAGCCTTGTTTATATTTCCTCTAAGAGGATCACCTTTATGATCTTCATAAATAAAATATACAACTATAGATTCTTTTTCCTTTTCCTTTTATAGCACTTAAAAATATGAAAACTACTATTACCTTATGAGCTGAATAAAATGCAGAGTATGAATCAATTTGATCCGTAGATCGGGGGTAAATATAAGTACAAGCCAATGGCACCCAAACACTAATAAAACAAGGCCCGTGTTAGCACAAGTAAATGCACAGTCTTATTACCACTTTTCCTCTGTAAGTGGGATTTTT